TTTTGGTACCAGGGATTGAACTCAAGGGCACTTAACCACTGAGCTACATTCCCAGCCCTATTTTGTGTTTTATTTAGAGACAGGGTCTCACTGATTTGTTTAGTGCCTCATCGTTGCTGAGGCTGGCTTTGAACTCACCATCCTCTTGTCTCAGCCTTTGTAGCCACTGATATTACAGATGTGTGCCACTGTGCCCAGCTAAACATCAGTTCTTTAGAGATCCCTTTTCTGCCTTGCTCACTGCTGGCTCCCACAGGGCCTCAGATTCTTCTGAAGCATTCATAACATGAATCTGTCTTTGCACACCCGTCTTCTCCACAAGAAAAAGTATTCTACATTGTATGCCTAATGAGGTGCCTGTCATTGAGATGGAGCTCCCAATGTCATATGACTGGTATCTTCACACATAGTCAAAGGTTCTTCCCAACTGTAAGTAAGTGAGCAGATGACCACATACATAAATTAATACTAAAGACACCACTTCAGAGAGTCTATTAACCATGCATGCAGGGGTGCTCACTTCATCAGAGCCAATCCCTTTTGTAAGAAACAGACCTTGGTCAGATAATGCCACTCCAGGCAGCCTGACAGAGCCAGGAAACCAGGTCCCCAGGTCAACAGAACAGAATACAGAGGGTATGGAGCAAATGTATGGCAGTGCGGGGTCAGGAGGACACCTCAGGGAAATGAATGAAAATGGTATTTGATGGTCATTGGCCCAGGGTCACCTGAGTGGCTTGTCCTCTGGCCCTGGCAGGTCCCTACTCAGTCTTCCCCACTAAGACAACTGGGCAAGACATGAGTGATCCAGTGCCCTGTGAAGACCAACACAGGCCTAGGGTTGGGTGGTTCCTTTTTGTGTGATCTTTGTGAAATAAAATATATATGCAAAATACATGCAGTATATCTGTGGGGGATGAAGAATTGTACCATTAATGTGGCTGACACCCACTTCCCAATCAGGACCTGCAGCCTCCCCAGCACCATGGAATCACACACATATTCTTCCTGACCTGCTTGCTCCACCCCTAAGATGGCCTTGGCCCTGGCTTTTGTCATTACCTTGTTTTCACATCCCAAAGAGTAGTTGGTCTCTCCTGGCTTTGAAGGTGTCAAGGATGGGAACATACAGCACATTCTGCTCTTTCCACTCGGTATTTGTGAGTCGTCATCTGGTTGTGCGTAGCCTGTTTACTCACTGTGGCTGCATTAAATCCTGTGCATTAATCTTCCTTTCTGGATATGCATCATGATGGAGTCTTTTTTTCCATGTTTATTCTTAAGGTTTCCATACCTGTTATTTTTCTATAAATTATCTGGTTACCCATTTGCCTTAAAAGTAACTTTAAAAAAAACTTTAAAAATAACTTTAAAGAAAACCCATTAACTTGCCATGCTATTGGTTAGCATTCCACTGCTCATGACTAACTGTTACCTAATACCCCTGCCAAAGTTGGAAACCCAAAATTATATGAGGGACAAGGGTGATTAAATCAAATCATTACCAGTGAAATGCTCTTGATTATGAGTTAAGGCCTATCCAGGGGGTCACAATGTCTAATGTAGGAGAAACAGATCCTAATACCATCTTAGAGGCAAATGCCTGTGAGAAAAACAAGAAGTCACGACTATCACAATAAGATTGATACAACAGGAGACACAGCAATATTGGATACAATGAGTTGTATCCAGACACCAGAAATTTCCTCCACCAGAAAGTTCTAGAAAACCACCAACTAAAAAGCTGTCTCTGTGGCAAAGGTGGTGAGGACAGGGCACCTATTGGGAAATACAAATCTCTTTTTTTGTGGGGGCTGGGTACCAGGAACTGAACCCAGGGGCAATTCACCACTGAGCAACAT